TCTTCAACTTCTAAGACTGTATTCAATTCATACGATTGATAATATATGACGAACTATCTTTACTACCATTTATTTGAAGGAGTTTGTTTTGGCCGTCGTCGTCGCGTTGCCATCCTAAAATCGTAAGGTCTCTAATGAACTGTCGAGTCAACGGGGATTGGTAGCAAGACTAGCAAGTCGAATCCGAATTTTTTCGCTAAAAATTTCCCTTGGAAACACTGCATTAAGTGTCTTTCCGAAAAGTGTATTACCTCGCTATATATTTTCTTATATGTCTTGCAAACTTTGAGATATAAGAAGTTATATAAACAAGGCAATTTTATATAACTTGCCACCCAGGGTCATGCATGCTTCGCAGAATTCAATGCGAGCAACACAATTGCATACACATTGTGTTTATATTCAATTTCAACCACAATCACGTCTCGGATGCATTATTCCATGACCGCTTTACCACAGAAGTCTACTACGCATTATTATTTATTGAAAATAATTCAAGAGTTTTGATTGGCTAAGAGCTGTCGGTGAAATCGTCATACCCGCTCAGTAGCTGCCCAAATTTGGAGTTATGACATCACCGTGGAATATTGAAAACAAATAAAACGTGAAATATTGAAAATATGACGTCACGCTAATTGACGTGGAATATGACGTCACGCTAATTGACGTGGAATATGACGTCACGCTAATACATGTGGCTTATGCCAAAAGCGGGAAAATACAAATGGCTTCCTCAAAGGAAAGGTTCGCCGACCTTTTTTGTGTATTCCGACAAATAAATAATAAAACAATTATTGAATTCGGTTCTCGTAGGATATGAGGAATTATTAAGGCCTCGCGGTTCGTGTTTTGTGTTATCTATTATAACACAAACCTCGGTCTTAATAATTCCTCGACCTCATTCAATAATTGTTTAGTATTCAGCGTTGACGTCACAGTAACGTTTATATTTAAAGTGCATATGACATGAAATTTCTTATTTTCTTAAATGAAAGAACTCTTTAAGTTGTAGTGTTACTTATTTTTCAGTTTCTTGTTTTTATGGTTTGTTCCCGAGATATTTCAATTTGTTCGATATGTAAATGAGTGTGAATATGTTCGCTAATTTATGACGTCATGTTGGTTGCAAACTCAACTTACACTGGTTATAAATCTATTAACTCTAAAAAATGTTGATATCAGTTCACGTTTTTCTCCAGTGTTTCATCACATTTACCAGTGAGTGAAGTTTGAAATTATGATCTTGGATAATAGCAGTGATATTCAACCATTTTGAAGAGCTTGCAACCAACATGACGTCATAAATTAGCGGACATATTCACACTCATTTACATATCAAACAAATTGACATATCTCGGGAACAAACCATAAAAACAAGAAACTGAAAAATAAGTTACACTACAACTTAAAGAGTTCTTTCATTTAAGAAAATAAGAAATTTCATGTCATATGCACTTTAAGAAAATAAATGAATAATTAAAGTCCCACGGAAGACTTAGACGCCGTCCATGGTCTGTTTACAACCGGTAAACCAGAGCTCTTACGTCTTGTGTACAACGTTTGCATTTTAGTACATAAGAAGTAGATATACACAGCAAATTGGTTCAGTACCAATGTGGAACTCCACTCAATAAAAAGCCTTTGTTTTGATCTGTTCAAGCTGTTTTAAATTCATACGATTGATAATATACGATAAGCTTTCTTTACAATCATTTATTTGATTCAAACGTTGCTCTTCTGTCGGTACCTAATTTGTCAATTAAGCTACAGGCGCATTAAAAGTACGACGTCTAAAACGGGCGTAAGACATCTTGTTTTCTGACTCCGTGTTTTCCACTGATCTAAAATAATACTGGATAAAGCATCTGCTGTGCATATTAAGTGGCCAATTGCGGCCATATTGGATGGCCCCACCATTAATTTAATCTGGTGTTGTGGACATGTTTAACCGTTCCTTTAAGTTTCTAGTCACTAGTGGGAAAGGACAAATATTGCCTGGATAAGAATTTATCATCAGTAGCATCTCTTTTTTCCCAAATTTGCCATCAAATATGGCTGCCATGCCTCGTTATGTGGTGTATAAAACGTTCTAAAACTCTTTCGAAGATATTTTGGAAGCTATATTTCACAAGTCACATAGGCGATGATATTTGCTTTATAGTCTAACTGAACTTAAAAATTCATTAATATTTCATGAGGGAAATACAAAAGGAATGAATGTTTAATCAATGTTTGTCCTGATTTACATAAACTTCAGCTTTGATTTTCTCGGCTTAGACAATGTTTATTTTTAAAATTACTTCGCCAATGAACTATAAGATGGGTCGTTTTTAAGCACGTTAAAAACATTCGCATCCGATCTTTATCTGATATACAAACCAGTCGCCTTCGGCTCGAGTTTACTGCCATGAATTTGACTGATTTATTTGACTGATTAAAATATTCTGGCTTCAAAATCGGATTACTGAATTCAATAGGACGCTTTATCCAGTCTTATTTCAGATCAGTGATGTTTTCCACCAAAACCCGACTCAATTTTTCTGGAAATTTGTTAGCATTAAATTCTTGTTTCTGGTGACCGGTGTTATGTACTCAGGTGAAAATATATGTTTGTGATGTTGTCTCTGAGCGTGTCCACACCGGGGCAAGCTGAAAAGTTTGTTTGACCGCAGTGGGAATCGAACCCGTGAGCTTTGGTTTGCTAGTCCAATGCTCTACCAACTGAGCTACGAGGTAGTTTGTATATCCGATACAACAACCATTGGTTGATACGGCATATTTGGTGCAGCCAATATATTTAGAGCATGAGCAGCCGTGTTGTATCGGATATACAAACGTCGGCTCGAGTTTGTATATCCGATACAACACGGATGCGAATGTTGTGAATGACTTGTGAAATGTATTTTCGCATTTAGCATTCGTATTCTCCAACAATTTAAAATAAATGAAGGATATTTGGTGAGAAAATTGAACTTAAAGTTTATGTAAATCAGCATGCATGATTCTGTATCAGATATACGGAATGTGAATGGAATATGGAATGCGAATGTTTTGTATTACTAGGGATACAAAAGCGTCCAGGTAAGTGATAAATGAAGTTTACCAATTTACTTCATTTTGGTTGAGAAAAAGGAAAAGCTTTTGTGAATCAGAACGAAATCTTTATCTGATTTACAGATATTGATAAATCACTTATTCCTTCTGAATTTTATTTTTTATTTCTTTTAATTAATGATGTCATAAACTTATTGAAGAATAAAGTAGATACAATACATATAATGATCTCTCACATAAGAATCTAAACACTATATATATAAATCATTCCAGTATACAAACAAGAATTTACATACACCAATCAACCTCACACTAACAATTTACGATTATTAATTTCGCCTATTTGATTTTGAAGCAGGATAATTGCTATAAGGCCACAATCTCCCATGCAAGTTCAACATTGTTTAGAAAAACGGTTACTGACTAACATAATGAGGACTATTTCGTCTGTAATCTGTTTGAGATGCAATCTTTCCCTTGATAACGTCCATATTAGCCAAGGTATTGTACTTCATCAGTTCATGAAGTCGGTCAAACTGTTTCTCCTCGTATTCGAAGTTGTAGGATGAATAGGGGTTTTCAGGGTCATCAAAGATTGCAAAGTTTCCAAGTTCTTTATCCTCTTTTGTCACTCGCGGTACCCCTGAAATGTGAGATAGATAAAACATGTAATGAAATGGATAATATGTTTCGAAATTGAAAAATCATGTGTATTTGTAAGATTAAAGATTTTAATTCAGAGTAAATATATATATATATTGAATACTATATCATGTCTTAATAATATACATTTAAAAATTTCTCAATTCTGATTGGCTAAGAGCGGTTTTTCAAAATACAGTGCCAAAAAATGAAATACAGTGCTAAAAAAAAGAAATACAGTGCAAATTTCTTAATTTTTCTTAATTTTTCTTAATTTTTTATTTTTCAAATTTCTTAATTTCTTAAATTCTAAATGTGACTTACGCACGTGACTGGATAATGTTTTCATGTATATTTTTAATAAGTAATAGTATGATTTCTCGTGCAATTTAGAAAAATAGGTACGCATTGCGTACATGTGGTTAGCCTATAGGATTGGCAATTGTTATAACGTCATACAGCTGATTTCGTTCAATATAATGAACGAAATATCTTGGTTGATTTTTCAACCATTGAACCATAAAATTTTTGTTCTTCATTCTTTGTCGTATGAAACCAAATACCGTATAACATATAGCCATAATACAGCAACCTTTTTAAAAACAAACCAGAAAATGTTAAATTAACTCTACTATTTCGTTGTAAACGGCTAAAATAAAATTTTAAAACTCTTTCTCGCTCAGTCCCAAGCATCGTAGGTCGCTAAAAGCTGCCAACATTTAAGGTCCAGACACACCGGGAGCGATTCGACAACGCGACGCGATTTTTTAGTTTTCGAAAGTTAATACAACAGCCAATGAGAGCAAATCTTAAAAGACATGTAGACAAAGAGTTATAAAAGACAAAATGTTATAACGCTTCTAAATACTTGGAAAATTTAAACTAGGATTAAAGTCATCGGTCAGTGAAAGTCGAAAAATCGCGTCGCGTTGTCAAATCGCATCCCGTGTGTCTGGACCTTTAGATGTTCATATCTTTAGTTTAGTGCATGCTATGAAAAAATCAAATAGTTCCTTACAATAGCTTTAGTCATTATCAACATTGTAGCGATTTATTGCCTCTGAAAGGCAAGCGAGATCGTACCTTTCGCTGAACATATAACTTCGGCCACGCTACAGGGGTAATGTGACTCGAATCGGTTTCCGACGAATGGTTTCCGACGTTTCCCGAGTGCTAGGACAGCATTGTTTCGACAATCAGTTTGTATTTCCGGTCGAAGCTTTCACTAAAAATTTAGATATTCTGAAATACCGAAATATAAGATGCAAATCTGTAGATACAAGCTTGAAAATAACACTCTGAATAGTGTTTTGGATTCTGATTCGAACAAAACTATTACGAAAAAGATATGTTGAAAGGGACCAAAGTTCTGTTCGGCGAAAGGTTATGCACTTGATGTCTTAGATGGTAATACATTGACATTGTTTACATTGTTCGGGAAAATTGTGTGAAATATGGAATCGCTTAATTAATTAAACTTCCAAAGATCGTAAATCGCTATGTTCATGTTGACTTTTGCCTAAAACAATCCATAGGGATTGTTTCACTGAATAGACCTTTCCCCTTATAACCAAAATTTTGATCTAGGCAAGTCTAGACAAATATTTCATCACAGCTTGAAAGAGCATCACAAAATTAGTAATATTCCAAAGTTTCGTTGCGAAATGTTGTAAAATGAGGAAAATAGAGCCTTGCGAAGTTTGCAATTTTCAGTCATTTTGCATTACAACCGGGAAATTGCAGCCCCAACACCCGAATCGGATGTCAATTTCCCGTTTGTAATACAAAATGACTGAAAAACGGCAAACTTCGCAAGGCTATATTATCCGCATTTTACAACATTTTGAAACAAAACTTTGGAATATTACTAATTTTGTGATGCTCTTTCAAGCTGTGATGAAATTTTTGTCTAGATCGAAATTTTAGTTATAAGGGGAAAGGTCCATTGAACGGTGGTATTTTCATCCACATAGCAACCACTGAACTATGACAATCTCGTTCCCTGAGCCTGCGATCCTCGGGAAGGAACGCGAGGCTCTGAGATAATCCGTTGCCGGAAGCCAGGAATTCTGGCTAAGATTGAACTACGCAATCCGTTTCAACGGCCAATCAGATTCCTCCCTGAAACGGATTATCCCAGAGCCTCGCGTTCCTTCCCGAGGATCGCAGGCTCGGGGAACGAGATTGTGAACTATGACTGAACCAAAGATATATGAACCTCCAAGGTAAACCGACGATATGATATGTCCATATCGATCTGCTTTAATTATGCGCAGGCGAAAGAGTATGCCAGAGCCTTTAACTACAAAATTTCATAAACCAACGACTCTTTCGTACGCTTTTAAATTAATCACTGAATTGAACGGTGGTATTTTCATCCACATAGCATGCACTGAACCAAAGATATATGAACCTCCAAAGTAAACCGACGATATAATATGTCCATATGCATATCGATCTGCTTTAATTATGCGCAAGCGAAAGAGTATGCCAGAGCCTTTAATTACGAAATTTCATATAAACCAACGACTCTTTCGTTTGCCTTTAAATTAACTACAAAATTCCATAAACCAACGGCTCTTTCGTATGCGTTTAATTAACTACAATATTTCGCACATGCGCAGACTAAAAACTGTCACACTAAACTTTTTTATGGTTTAGTGGTTAGCTGCGCATGCGCAGGCTAACCACAAAAACATACACTCGTGAGTTTTTCGTTCGGTCTCGTGCAATTTTGATAGTCTGTTGAAAAACTCACTGGTGCATGTTTTTTTCTCCCCAAATTGCACTCAAAACTATACTGTTACCTATACATATTGAATACTATATATGTCTAATATGGGGGCTCTGCCTCCATAACTTCATATCTGTATTCGATATGCATATAGGCAGTTTTGGTGGTCCATATGCAAAATGCAGCATTTTCATTGGTTCAGGGTTTAAAATCATTTAAATATATTTGTACGCTGTTTGTGAGGTGCACCTTTTTGTACCGGCGATATTTTTGTCCGGCTCTGATAAGTCGAACATGAAACGCTTATGCAGAAAATACCACCATGTTCAAAAGTGAATCAAAATAGAAAACGCATGCAAGTCATTTCAAAAATCGATGCCCAAGATACTGTAATGCAGGTAATTAAATAAACCGAATAATTTCACTGCTGTAGTATATGAGAAAAACAGTTACTGTATATATAAAGCTCAGTAGACAGTAGTAATATGCGTCTTACCTGGTGCGCTGAAGTCTTTGAATGTTTTGTTGGTAAGAGGAAAATGTAAAATTGTTGGGCATTCTGGATCTGACTGATCTTCAAATACATAACATTCTTCAATGTCAGAATTTTCCAAGACTGGGTTCCCGTCGATTTGCGGGAACGGGAGCCCTTGCTCCTTTGCCCAGCGTTCAGCCCTCAAAAGGTTCTGAGTTAATATAAAGTATAAAAGAGTGAACTTTGAGCTTTACCCCCCGAGCTTGCGTGCAAAGACCAACGTGAAAAAATTAGGTAGCTCAGTATTAAACACAGAGTCAGATCCCTCAAACATTTCTTACAAATCCTTCAAAACTTAGAATTTAGCCAGAAGTTACGGTTACCACTGAGTAATTTAAAAAAAATACAAAACAATGGATACTCCGAAAACAGTTACAGGCCTTAAAATATCGGTCGGTCACGGACATTGTCCGACCCATTCGTGAAATTGTCAGACGTAGAAAAGAAACCACCGGACATTCTGTCCGACCAAAGTGAAACTGAGGTTTATTGTTTGTCCGACCCGAGTGTATTGGTGTCCGACCGAACTGTAGCTTTGTCCGACGGACGTAAATCAAAAAGTACCCTAGTCCAGGAGGCCAGGACTAGAGGCAGGCTTATATGTTAAGGAGGCTCCCTACAGTTGCGTGCGGAATGTTCGCGGGACCAGTACGTGAACTATCCCACGCAACCGCATGATCAAAACAAAACAAAATATTTTTTTTTTAAAAAAAGCTATTTCTGAAAGGTTTCTAATGGGAAAAAGCGTTGAATAATACTTCGTTTTGAGTGCCAAATTACTTGCGGGTCTATACAGCAATTCTACATATGATACGAATACCACTAGACCAAAAATAGCTACGAAACAATGTTTTTTAATGTTTTTGAAATATACATTGTCAACTGTAAAACATTTGCAAAATTGCATACAAACGTTTAAAAAGTTGTTTACTTCTCAAGAAAACGTTCACGTTTTTAGTCGTGTTTCTACAAGATTAAAGTGATTATATGTAAACAGAAAAATATTTCAGTTTCATAGCCTAATATATTGTTCATTTTTAGCAAAAAGTACAAAACCAAACATGAAACAAAAAAAACACGTCCACCTGTTAATAGGCTGTTACAGCTCATAGATTGAGTAAACGGCAGGATTCAATTAGCTTCAACCTTGTTTTCATCGATTTAATCCTTCACAATAATCCTTGGCTGTCCGTAGCACTCAAATAAATCGAAAAGTTGACAAAAACAAAACAGTAAAAACGACACTGCGGCTCGATTTTGCTGAATGAAAACTCGTTCTGCGCCCACGTACAATCTTTTACTAGTCAGCGACGCTTTTCAATAGGGGAATTTCTCGAGTTACACGAGGCTATTTTCCAACTTTATTTGCATTTTACTCATTAGTTTCATCGGTGACCTATCTTCAAATTTTGACCACGAATTTATTTTGCGGTAAATTTTATAAATTTCAAATTTTAAAAAAATCTGTAGTGTGGAAATTTCGCAATAAATTTTTCGCTTTTAAAAAAATCACACACTACAGAATTTTTTTAACCTTTCACCACAGTTGCAGAGCATCATTCCTTATTGATATATGAAATAAAAAAGATAGGTCACCGACATCGTTTTTGAGATAGCGGCACATTTATGGGTTAAATTGGAAGGCTTTATGCTGTCGTCATGTTGCCATGGGAACATTGACATGGTCGAAATCTAGTTCGAAATATTCCTTAGGTGACCAATATTACCACCAAGTCGAAAAGAATTCGCGTTCTGCACGAATAAGCCTGTTTTACGGAATTATTGCTTAAACAAGAATAACTGTAGGGAGCCACCTTAAGATAATATCAGAAAGTAGGTCGTCTGTATTAGTGTGATTAGTGAAATAATATGTATCGTATACAAACTGGAAATATATGCATGCAGCAATCCCTCGCCTTTTTTTCTCCAAACATTGATTATAGGCTGATGCACACTTGATGTGAAACTTGACTCGTGTAATAGCATTTTGTTTGGACTATACCATCAGTGGAAATTGTCTTCATATTGAGTTGTGATTCAAATAGCCAATTGTAAGTTACCTTAATTAGTGAGATTTTAGATTTACAATTGTATATATATAGTATATAACAAAATTATTTTAAAAATAAAGTTTCCATTATTTGATTATATTATTATTATTATTATTATTATTATTAATTGGCCAACACTAAGACCCCGTTTACACTATACCGGATTGCTATCGGAGTGGGTCAAATTAGATATCGAAAGGCTGTGAAGATTTTTAATCTCAGAGACCCAAATAAACATGCCAATTCTGTGAAACTAATAAGCATTTGCTACTAACCATTGCTCCGTAACGGCAAATGAAGATGTCGTGACCAGCGAATCCGGTATAGTGTAAACAGGGCCTAAATGCAGGCTCGTATTTACGCTAAGTGTTGTCATGGCAACACTAATATGATAATTTAAAAATTCTTATGGGTTTTTTTTGTACAAAACGGCAAAAATAGTTGAATAATTTGTACTTTTAACTATACAACAATGAATGTCCAAAATATACTAAATGTGAGCGGATCGTTTTATTTATATATGTGACCACTATATATTTAGATTTCCTGCATTTGTACTTCAGCGAGTGCCGGTGGCGTGTTTGTCTTGGGCGTTGCGTGCCATCTATTAAACATGCTGCTAATTGGTGGTTCGATTCCTGCAATGGCCAATCTTTTGTTTTTCGTTCTCATATTTTTTTTCTTTACGATTTTTCCTAAGATTGCCTTTATACAATACCTTTCGGTTAGATTAGAGTTAGGGTCACGTTTGTTTTTTAAGTGTATTAGGGACCGGTCATAAAGTAACTGCTAGGGTGGGCTGGAGTGATTTGGGATGGGCCATGGAAAATCTTTGGGCAGTTTCGATGGGCCGCCAATTTTTTTGTATGTCCACGGTTGGGCCCCCAAACAGAAACCCATGTCTACTTCAAAATTAAAAATAAAGATATTAATAATAAAAGTAAGCAAAACTATCCAAATTATCAAATACAAATGATGCTATTGAAGCCAGTACTTTGTTTATACAACAACAAGAAGTGGTCGAATCACAGCAAATACAACCAACTGGAGAGCAGCCCAACTAGTATCGTAATTGGTGATGAATGTGTTGGTCAAGCTTGGTGGAATTAGGTAATGTCAATACAGTGCATGCCGGTGTATATTTACAATGTTTTTTTTATTATAAAAGTGTATTTTCCCAATTTAGATGGGGTGGGTCATGAAAACTTTTTTGTAAGATTAGATGGGCTTTGAAATTTTTATCTACATCCTAAGATGGGTCACCAAACTTATTGGCAAAAATTGTGATTTACCTCCAGCCCACCCTAGCAGTTACTTTATGACCAGTCCCTTATATTCAATTAAAATAATATCTTTAATTAATTATTCGCGCGCGAATTCGAATTGTATTAATTAATGCTAAATGCTGAGCCGCTGACATGATCTGATATGATCGCGGACGGGGGTCACAGAACGCCCGGGATAAGGGACCGCTCATTATTTATTGTACAGGGGGGGATTGAGGAGAAACTGGTGGGCCTTTAAATTTTTTTAAACCTGAAAGGGGAGGCTTTGAAAAAATACAGAGAGACGAAAGAAGGGGGGCTTTGAAAATATTTACCAGTTTGAAAAAACATTAGTAGATTTAAAAATGTATCACAAAACAACTTAACAACAAATAACAATGTTTATAGACCTTTAATATTCATAAATGGAA